ACAGGGAAAGAGTCCTTCACAGCCTTGGTTGCTATGTGCCTGACCTGAGGTGGGCACTGCATAAATATTTGTGGACTCTATGAAATACGAACAGGAAAGGAAAGGAGAGGAGTCAGGTTTCCTGCAAACACCTCATCAGGTGCTTAGCCTCAACTGCACGGTGAGGATGTCATGTAGCAATTTGTCATTGTTAGTGGGTTATTGATGGGAATTGGGAAGAGGGAATGGACAGAGCAGCCTTTGATGGGGCAACCTGGCATGGCTGTGAGCATGGCTGCACCTTGTGTCTGTGAATAATCTCTCTAGGTTCATTTTTCTCCTGCAGCCTTCTCCTGCCGATATTTCAGGAGAAATTTAAAACAGTAACTATTAGGAAGGTTGTTGACTAGCAAGTCTTTCCCAGTCAGAATCAGACCGAACACAGCTGGGGCCAGTCTGGTGCTGCCTCACCTGCCTTCCTGGCACTCCTGGTGACCTGCAGCATCGGCCAGAGTGCCTATCTGGGTGGCTGAGCCTCAGCATCGGGTCCAAATGAGTCTAAATTATCGAAAGAAGGCAGCATATGCCATAGGGTAGGAAAGTGGCCGTGCCGTTTGCTTTAAAGAGGCTGAGACCAGATCTGGCTTGGATCTGTAGGGAATATAAATGATGCAATTAATTCCCTGTAATTTACAAGTCGTCATTTGCACAGAGCTCTGCGAGAAAGGGTTTGGAAGCCATATATCGAATGCTGTGGGCTCTGGGGTGTCATCACCATTCTCTCCACCTATGGAAAACCAGCTCAGGCTTGAAGGCTCAGCAGAAGTACTGAACCTTCAGAGCCTTCCTAGATTGTTCCCCCCTCTGCTAGTTTATCTAGTCGCCCTGGGTCACTTAACCTGCATTTAGTTAGACCTTACTTCAATTTCACTTTGAATTATGGCTGTTTGTGTCTGCCTCTTTCAATGAAAACTCACTGAGGGGTGAGACCATGTTTAAGACACCCTGATATCTTTCTCCTTCCTCTCCAGCACCACAGTTATTTCTTTGCCTATTGTATGTAATCAATAAATATATACTATATGGCATTACACTGAAGACAAGGCTGTTTAGCCCCTCTCTGTTCATGCCCAGCCAAGAGCCATACATATGAGAAAAAGAGTCCTTCATGACTTCAGGTAACCTAACGGGGTAGAGAGAGAGAAGGGCTATTTACTTCCTTTGTGGTAGAAGTTTCCTATTTTTGCTCCAAAGTGATAATAGTACCTCAATGTCCAGTTGAGACTCCCCATTCTCCTTCTCTCTGTCCATTTCAAATTTTTTTTAATGTTTTATTTCTGAGAGAGAGAGAGACAGATACCGTGAGTAGGGGAGGGTGAGAGAGAGAGGGAGACACAGAATCTGAAACAGGCTCCAGGCTCTGAGCTAGCTGTCAGCCCAGAGCCCGACATGGGGCTCGAACCCACAAACCGTGAAATCATGACCTGAGCCGAAGGCGTATGCTTAACTGACTGAGCCACCCAGGCGTCCCTCTGTCCATTTCAGATGAGGCTGCCTCTACCCCTAGTCCCAGGGGCAGAACACATGCCCCAGACCCAAAGTAATGAAAGCCCCACCCTCTCCAGGCTTGGATCAGGATTGGCAGCTCGGCCCTCAGACCCAGTGGGATGCCTGAGGCTTTGGATGCAGTTTCCAGGCAGAGGCAGGTGTTTTTGCCAGCTCTGCTTGATGCTGAGAGGAGTAATCTCTGCCATGGCCACCACCACAGAGGTACCATAATGAGCCTGAGACCAAAAAACAACACTGTAGAAACCAGAACTAAAAACGACAGTGACAAATGAAGCCCAGAAAACATCCTTTGAGTCCTGAATCCAATTAGACCTGAATATGGCTTTTCTACCCTTGGACTTTTCGATTATGTTAGTTGGATTGTTTGTCACTTGCAGTATAAATGCCCCGCCCCCTCACCTAGTCTATCCTTCATGCCAACACAGGTGAACTGTGACCGGAGTAATGACTAGGGAAGAGTCAATCGATGCAGTCAAGGAAATGTTCAACCTCACTTAAAATCAAAGAATAGCCAATTAAAGCAATGAGATAACATTGTTTGCCTAGAAACCTGGCAAAGATTAAATGCAATGATAATATTCTGTGGTAAGTAGATAGATAATGCTTAATAAGGGTGCTACAGAAAGGGTATTCATAAACTGCTGATAGGAGGATAATTTGGAGGGTAATTAATAAATGCAGATTAACTTGCATACCATTTGTCTGCATCTAGGAAAGTATCCTAAAGAAATAAGTAAGAACGCATGCATTTAGCTAATAGAATAAACATATGTGTCAGGTGTTTATAAGTCAGTGAAAAATTGGAAGTAACCCGAATGTCCAGCAATAGAGGATGAGCGGAGTAAAGTTTGGTGCATCTCATAATCAAATCTTATGCATTTATGTTGAAAAATGTTTTTTCATAGTTGAGAAAGTAGCAAATAAAATATCTGATATATGTAAAAAACGATAGGCAACTGATAATAAGAGCTTTCACTGTGAAATAAGATATTAGAAATATTTTTAAATTTTCTTCTTTTGTATTTTTCCAGCTGGCCTAACTTTCTAAATATATCCCATATTTGATCATACTCACTACCCCATGGCTGCCAGGCTGGCCAAGCAGCCATCCACTCTGGAATGGGTGACTGTAATATTTTCTAACTTATGTCCTTGCTTCACCTGGTACTCCTTCAGTCTGCTGAAGGGTAAATAAACACAAGTTTATTTATTTAATCTCTAAACCCAACATGGGGCTCAAACTCATGACCCCAAAACCAAGCGTCGCATGCTCTTCAGACTGAGCCAGCCAGGTGCCCCAACAACATGCTTTTAAATATGGGTCAAAAAAAGCATCTCAACAGAAAGAAATTTTAAATATGAACTAAATGAAACTGAAAATATAACACCAAAATTTGTGGAATGCAGCAAAAGCCATACTTAGCAGGTAATTTCTAGCAATGTATGTATATTTTAGACAAAAATAGATACCTAAAATCAATCATTTAAACTTCCACCCTAGGAAATTAGAGGAAGAAAGAAGAGCAAAATAAACCTAAAGCAAGCATAAAAAATAAATAATAAAAATTTGAAAAGATATCAGTGAAAGAGTAACAAGAAAACAATGGGGAAAAAATCAACAAAACCGAAAGCTGTTTCTTTGAAAAGATTAATAATACTGATAAACCTCTAGCCAAGCTAACCAAGAAAAAAAAAAAGGCACAAATTACTAATATTAGAAGTAGAAGAAGAGCCATCAGTAGTGATCCCATGAATATTACAAGAATAATAAAGGGATATTATGAAAAGTCCATGCCCACAAATTTGCTAACTTAAATAAAATGGACCAGTTCCGTGAAGACACAATCTACTAATACTCACACAAGAAGAAATAGATAATTTTAATATGTCAACATGTATTAAAGAAATTGAATGAATAGTTAATAGTCTTTAAAATATAAAGCATCAGGCCTGGATATTTCACTGGTGAATTCTACCAAACATTTAAGGAAGAAATGATACCAATCTTCAACAGTCTCTTCTAGAAAACACAAGCAGAAGGTAAAATCCCTAACTCATTCTATGAGCCCAGCATCATCCTAAAACTAAAATCAGATAAAAGAAACTACAGACCAGTATAATTCATGAACATCAATGCAAAAATCCTCAACAAACCACTAGCAAATTAAATCCAACAATGTATATAAAGAATTACACACCATGACCAACTGAGATTGATTTCCAGGTATGTAAGGCTGTTTCAGTATTTGCAAATCAATTAATGTAATCTGTCACACGAACAACAGTCTAAAAAAATATCATTTGATCACATGGATAGATGTAGAAAAAACATTTGACAAAATCCAGTGCTCGTTCATGATCAAGTTCTTTAAAAACTAGGAATAAATGGAATTTTCTCACTTGATAAATAACATCAACAAGAAATCTACAGCTAACATCATACTTAATGGTGAGGATATAGATGATGTAGATGATGCCCCCAAGATCAGAAACAAGGCAAAGATTTCCACTCCCACTAACGTATTCAACATCATACTGGAAGTGCTAGCTAATGAAGTAAAACAGTAAAAGGAAATAAAATGTATGAAGATTGTGAAGAAAGAAATAAAATTGTCATTGTTCACAGTCGACATGATTTTCTATATAGAAAATTACAAAGATGTAACAAACACTGAAACAAATAAGCAATTATGGAAAGTGTGCAAGATACAAGGTTAACGTGCCTAAGTTAATTGCTTTCATACATGTAAGCAATAAACAATTGGAATTTGATATTTAAAATACAATACCATTTACATTAGCACCCCCCACAAACGAAATACTGAAATTAACAAAATGGGTACAAGAACTATTTGAAGAAAACTACAGAATTCTAATAAAAGAAATAAAAAAAGATCTAAATAAACGGACAGATACTCCACCTCCATGGATAGGAAGACTCAGTATTGTTAGCATGTATCCTCAGACACCAGAAGAGTGATAGGCACACTGTAAGCATCACACAAATAATTATTGGAAACAATGAATAAATGAACAAAGGCACCAGCATCCGTCATTTTGATCTACCAGTGCCTGGGAAAGACGAGTCAGAACCAATTAAGAGAGCAGATGCAGGGTCAACAGTAACAAGTGTTGTAACTATTTCTTCCAAGTCTGGTGGTCAGGTAAATAATGCTCTATTAGTAATATAAGTTAGAACAGACAGAACTTTTTTAAAGCTTGTAAGAGTAAAAACCCTCTGCAAAATTGCATTAAGGTCAAATAATTGCAAATGTGGAAATCAATGAAAATAAAAACACTATATATAAAACCTCTGTAGTAGAGCAAATTCAGACTCAGAGAAAATTAACTGTTCATTTTTTAGTATCATATAATTACATTTATCTGATTATAAAATAATGTGCTCTTATTGTTTGCAGAAAACAGGAAAGAACAAACAAAATAAGAACTGCGGATAACCACTGATAACATTTTGGTATATTTTCTTTCTTTTTTTCTTGTGTAGGTTTAGATATATATTCACAGAGATGCTGTAAGATTTTTTGCTTCATTTGATTTGTAATTCAAAGAGAAAGAGAGAGAATGAGATGAGAATCTGGTACCTTACCTATTTGTGAAAAACTTAAGACAATCATTATGAGAAAAAAACCGTGTCTTGCTCTTGGCTGGTAGGCATATGGGAAAATGGGCAAAGCAAAGATTATCAAAGAATCATGGGGTATGAATGCTTCTGAATAATTAGTGTGAGAAATGATGGATTAGTATTACTTTAGCCTTTTAATTTTAATATTCTTCTATTATTTTTTAAACAATTTATTTTCAAGTTGGTTTCCATATAACATCCCGCACTCATCCCCACAAGTGCCCTCCTCCATGCCCATCACCCCCCTTCCCCTCCCCCCCACCCCCATAAACCCTTAGTTCTCAGCATTCAAGAGACTCTTGAAAATTCTTCTATTATTAAAAAAATAAGTCAAACAAGCATTAAGCTTAAAAGCATAAGAAAATCTTAAGATGTGTTTAGTTTCATGAAACAGAAATTTCAGCTTAAGGACAAAATGGAATTATATAAAAATAGGGGGAGATCCTCATGGAAATTCGTGATGAGGAATAAAGTCAGGTCCCAATGGGCTGGAAGAACAAAAGGCAGCTAGATTCTCTTCTTCCTCTCCTTGGGGCTACATGGTCCCTAACCTGTGCTTACCTCTGCATGTCTCTGCCTTTTCCCCTACCAGCTTCCATAGCTCAGAGTGGTATGCTTTTGTCCCTTAATTTTAGTTAGCATGTGGCTTTGCTGGTGACAATATTGGTTCATACATACTCTGATGTTGTAGCTCAAATCCCTACAGTTAGCAAGCACAGTCTTTGGGCCTCTTAATTGCATTGCTAGTGAGCAAGGATATAATGGTTAGTCCTGCCTTTTGGAAGACCAGTGCTTGTATCAGCCAAACACCTGTGGCTAAGGAAAGGAAGTAAGGTCAAATGGCAAGGGCACTATTGGCAAGGATAACAGCAACTGAACCCCAAAGGAAGAAAGAAAGGAAAAACTAAGTAAATGACAAAATAAAGAAGCCTAAACTAGTAAAGCTAATCAAAACCAAATTCAGATTAACAATATTAAAATCAGAAATCTGATGTAACAGACAATATAAAATATTTTTTAATTATACGAGCACATTATGCCAAATTGTCAGATAAACATAACTGCAATAAAATGGGGGGGGGGCGGGGAGTAAGCATGGGATTACAAACTTGATGCAAGAAAAATGAGAAGACATTGTTAGGCTTTAACAGAAGATTATCTATTATATGACAAAGGTCATAGAGATGTGCTGCTAATTCTTCCTAATACAAATAATTTCTGTATGCTATAAACTGTTCCAAAACAAAGAAAAGAATTTCAGGGTTCCCATATTAGACTATGAGGTCAGTATGATAGAAGGCCTGAAATCTGATAAAGATACTAATACTATAACAAATCTATGCCAACACAGTATCTGAATGCAAATAAAAATATTGAAGTAAAATATCAATAAGTAAAATCAGCCCTATAAAAGAATAATATTTCAGGAACATATATAATTTATTGCAGCAAATAAAGGTGGTTTATAATGAGGAAATCTATTCCTATCAGCCATACTTGGCATAACATGTGCTGTTTGGGAAGATCTTAATAGTTATTAAAATTTCCTATTTTATTATTTATGCACATATTCAATCGTAAACACAATTAATAATTACATTCCTGTCAGATATAACACTTAATGAATCCTGGAAAAAATTCTTGAGAGAGTCACACAATATTGTCTGTGACTAGATACAGATATCCAAGGGTATAAGCAAATTCTGCCAAAAGTCCATTCATGTAACAGTCACAGAACTACATAGAACAAATCCTCTTAAGTTCAAAATAGATGAAATATTTAACATTACATATTATAGAAATGCTAAGGTTTATTTTCAAATATTAAGTAAATAAGCACTCAAAATGCATTAAATTCTTTTAACTAGTCACCTAGTTGCTAGTCATCTGTGAATGTCAATTCTTAAAAGTTAATAGAAGTGGTTTTCATGTGATCTCACTTGACCATTAGAACTTTCATGTCAGCTCACTTGGCCTTTGTAAACTTTTTCACCACTTAACATATGTATAGAGGCTGTAGACAGAGGCAGGAAAAGAACAGAGCAAAACCCAAAAGGCATCAAAACAAAGAAAATAATAAATAAACAGTTTGATAAAGAAACGAAACCTCGTACATTTAAGAATACACGTCACTTCAATAGTTAAGCAAGAAACAACACAACCATTTCAGTAGGTGATACAAAGCATTTGATACAGTATAGCAGCTATTTCTTATGTTCAGAATTCTAACAAAAGGAACAAAATTGTCCCCTTTTTATATAAAAATTGATATTCACTGTATACAAAACCTCCACATTATGCTTAATGATAACTGTAAAAATGTATCAACTTTAAGCAACAGAACACATATGCCAAATAACTTTATAATAGTTTATTATTATTGTTGGAGTTTTAGATAAAGCAATAAGACATGAAACCGAATTAGTTGAAAGAATTGGTTCTCAGACTTTGGCAAAGACCAAGTATTTTGGATTGAAATAAAACTCACAATGACAAAAACGACAACAACTAACACAGAGCCCTTACTGAATTCCCATGACAAACCTATGATCTAGAATACTGTCATTCCCATCTTACACCTGAGGAAACTGGCACAGAGAGATTAAATAAATTCTGAAGGGCTATTCAGCCAAGTAGAGGTGAAGCTGGGATTCTAAGCCAGGAAGTCTGGGTCCAGAAACTATGCTCTCCACTAATCCTGTCATGTACCAGGTGCTGGAATAAGTACCACATGTAAACCTCTCAACAACTCTGAGAAGTGGATATTATTCTCTCCATTATAGGCTGTGACAGCTGTGTAGTAAAACATAGCACATAAATTCAACAGACTTTTGTAAAACTCTTAAAACTATAATTACAAAGAGGTACCTACAAAGAAAGATTTTGGTAATAAATTTTGAAATAAAAAGGTCAAATATCAAACAGTATGTTTGATTTAATTACAAGTAAGGAAAAATATATCCATTTGGACAAAGACTGAGAGTGACTGAACTGAAATAAAGGTAGTTGTTAGGGCAGGGTAACAGGAGTACGAGTGATATTTTTTTCTTTACCAAATGTCCATAGTGAACATTGAATAAACAAGCTGAGGCTGCAAAAATGATAATGTAAATGAGGAAAAATAAAATGCCGTGATGAGTTGTGTTGAAACATCTATTAATGCATTGAGTCGGAGTAAAGAGATTTCTAATTCTAAAATTTTAAATGTAAATCAGACTGTAGTTAAGATAGATATTGGAGAGGATGGGAAAAGAGAAAAATAATTACCCAACTGCTTCCTCTGCCACTCCGGAAGCTGCCTGTCTTTGCTCAAAGCAATCTCATTAAATCACTGTGTCCAGCTCCCTAACCCAAGGCAGGACTGCACCTGAAGCAAACCAGATGGACTGGGAGCTCTCTGGCCTCCAGCATTCAGAGTCGGCTTCATTCCTGGCAGCCAAGCTGTTGGCCACCAGTGTTTATGCTGAATTGCTTCATACACACATTAAACTTAGGTGCATTCAATTCTATCCACTAGAAAGAAAGAAAAAGTTGGAGAGAAAGGAAAAAATTAAGCATATTAAAAAATATATTTTTTATATAATAAGGTCCTTAAATGTCAGCCTTCATTGAGTTTAAGCAAAGATAACCACATTTCAAAGTTTGAAGAAAACACTGCTACATTGAATGCATTGAGAGTATTATAGTATATTTTGAATATTAATCATTTTTATCTAATACCCTAACTTCAGAAATTAACCCAACTTAAGATGCAATTGAACTATATTGTCAAGAATAAAGATGAAGGAATGATCCAGTTTGCAATCCATGCAGTCAAAAAAATCAAGGCTTATGTGTAGCAACATGGATGGACCTTGAGGGTGTTATGCTGAGCGAAATAAGTCAGGCAGAGAAGGACAAATATCATATGTTTGCACGTATAGGAGGATTAGGAGGAACTTGACGGAGGAACAAGGGGGAGAAGAAGGGCGGAAATGGTGGGGGAAAGGGAGAGAGGCAAACCATGAGAGACTCTTGAATGCTGACAAAAACTGAGGACTGATGGATGTGGGGGGTAGGAGGGATAGGCATGGAGGAGGGCACTTGTGGGGATGAGCACTGAGTGTTATGTGGAAACTAATTTGACAATAAACTATTTGTAAAAAAAAAAAAAAATCAAGGCTTATTCCCTGCAATAATTTTAATCCTTTCTGCAAGTATAAAACCTGGTAAATCATTCTTTTGGTGCTGTGTATAGTGTAAATGTTAAGGTAGAATTACTCAGCTTCTGTAACAAAAATGCCCCAAGAAAAGGCAGCTTAAATGGAGGAGACATTTATTTTCCATTTATATAACAGTGCAGACAGTCTAGGCTGATGGACAGCTGTGCTCCATGAATTCAGTCAGGATCCCACACCCCTTCCATCCTGTTGCTCTTCCTGTAGGACCTTCCCCTGATTTGCAGTGTGGAAGCTGGATTCACTGGCACATTAGCATTCAGATCTCAAGAAGGGAAGAACAGAGCCACATCCAGGAAAGACAGCTTGTCTTTGTTGGAGGTGACCCAGAAGTTATACATACCACTTCTGCTCATACTGCCTTGTACTTAGTCATATGATCACAACCACTGCAAGAGAAGTTGGGGAAATAGTCTCTGAGCACATGTGTACTCAGGAAGGAGAGAATAAATTTCAGGAAGGGAGCAGTGGAGTTTAGGAGGGGAGGACAGTGGATTTGGAGGACATAACTAAATCTGCCTCATTTGGGGAAACTGAGTTGTCATTTAAACCCGTTTTCTGCCTGTTCAGAGATGAGATATTTTCCTGGTGCATAGTACTGCCATTGCTAAGAAAGTTTAATGGCCATTGGAGCTTCCTCATTCATTTGCACCCCACTCCTGTCTCCAAGCTTCATCAACAGATCAAAGACTGCAGTGATCTCCATGCTTCAAACCTTTGGTCAAGCCCAGCCATCATACAGGGGCTCACACAAGAGTCAAGCACGTACATGTGTGAAGCGCAAGCACGCACGCGCACGCACACACACACACACACACACACACAGAGGCATATGTTGACAGCAACCCATCAGAGTTTGCTTACAGATACCCTGTGCTTTGCTTCTGATTGTAGAGGAGGCAAACCGAAGGTTATCATCAGCAGATGGAAGGAGAAATGTTTACAGGGGCATTGGAACTGGGTAAGTCATTCCACCTTCTAAAGTCACTACCGTATTTGTCTGGGAGTGTCCTGTCAACATGCCTTAGTAGCAGCAGGAAGATAGTCCTCTTGCAGCAAACATAACCAGTGGCCACATAACAGAGGTATCTCTTGGATTTGAGGGGTAGAGGTTCCTGATGGCCATGTGGCATGTACAGGAGGAAGCCTGGAGCTGAGTGCTATGGAGGGAAACCTTCACAGCTGTTTTCTCAGGAAGTGGTCATAAAAGAAACAGATTCTGAGATCATGTGAATCTAGGTTACAAACCATTGTCAGGGTTAAATTCCTCCTCAGCAAAAAAGAGACAACCATGCCTAGGTGGATGGTTAAACTGAGTCTTTGAATGGATCCTGGAACCAATAATAAGGTCTCAGTAGTAAGTAGTTATTATATTATTATTATTATTATTATTATTATTATTATTACATTTTGGGCTGTTGTAAGGCTTAAATAAGATACCGTGTGAAAGCACATTGGGCAGCGCCTGACATGTAATAATTGTGATTTTCTTGGGTTAGAGCTCCTAACGCTCTCCTAGGCATCCTCACATTGGAACCTGTTATCAGTAGATTGCCCCTTTGATAGAACCTAAAAGTAAGCCTAAAATGTCGGCAGTGGGGACAGATTGAAAATGGGGAGAAGAGAAAGGGGAAGACATCAGTTAAACATCTACTATAAGTCAGGTATAATAGTGAGTGTGTGGAGTCACTAGAGACCAGCTTTGCCTTCTCGATTTTATTCTGAGTTGGCTTTGCTTATTAGTTTCCTACGGCTGCTGTAACAAATCACTACTGACTCGGTGGCTTGAAACAACACAAATATATTATCTTACAGTTGTGGAGATTAGAGGTATAAAATAGGTCAGCAGGGCTGTGTTCCTTCTGAAAGCTCCAGAAGAAGCTTAGCCTTTTCCAACCTCTGGAGGCCATCCACCTTCTTTGGCTAATGACCCCTCCTTGAACCACTCGAACCCCCTTCTCTGACTCTGACCCCTCTGCTCTCTCTTATAAGGATCCTTGTAATTACATCAGACCCACCTGGATAATCCAGGATAATGTTCCTACCTCAAGATCCTTAACTTAATCACACCTGTGAAGTTCCTCTTGCCATGTAACATATTCACAAATTCCAGAAATTAGAATGTTACATCTTTGAGAGGCCATTATTCTTTCTACGACACTTATTCATATAGTCTTAGTACACAAAGACCCCATGAATCTCAGGAATTGTCAAGACAGATGAAGACCATGAACAATATCTGTGTCCTCCAACACATCTATACCATGCATACATCATAAGTAAAATCAAAGTGACCTTTGAGACTAACAGAGAGTGGAGATGGAGGTGGCACATACCCTATAACTCAATAATTCCACTCCTAGATGGATCCACTAGAAGCTCTTATACATGTATTCTAGAACACAGGCTCATGAATCTTCCAAGCAGCATCCTTTCTACTTATGAAAAATTAGAAGATGATTCTCCATGCAAATGGATTTAGAAATTCCTACGATGGAGCACCATGCAGACCTGGAAGACCCAAAGCTATCTAAAAGCCTAAAGGATTCTGAGAAACATAACAAAGAAAACAAGCCACAAGAGAACAGACAATATAATAGCATGTTATATAAGTGTATATAAAAGATACAAAGAAATGTTAAGTATTACTTAAGAATACATAAATGGATGATATAACACAAAAACTATGCATGAGAAGGTAAGTATCAAATTTCAGATATTAGTTTCTCTTGGGGAAGGAAAGGAAAGTGTTATTGAGGAAAAGGAATATGAAGCTGGAAAATGAGTGTATGAAAGTGCTTATTATATCACTCATTTTGTACATCTGATATATTCCACAAGAAAAATTTTCTGTATCAACCTTGAAATTTTTAAGCAAAATTGTAAATGCTTTCACCCAAGTACCTTTAAGACTTGAGGAGATGGGATTTTTGACAGGGGCACAGGGGTAGGTAGGACTCTATTTCTGGAAAGTGCCTAACAAAGAGGCAGAAGGAGTCATTTTGTCAATGTGCCCAAGAGGAAATCCGCAAGGCAAGGAGAGGCAGAGAGGAGAGGTTTGGGGAGGAAAGAAGAGATGGCATTGTTTTTGAAAACTATCAGTTAAGATTCTATTTTAAATCACAAGAAAACCAACTCAGACTGAATAAAAAAATAAAGGAAACACATTGGCTCACATAATGGAAAAGTCCAGATATAGTCCTGGCTGTAGACCAGGCTTTCTCAATGGACAGGCACTGGTGACATTTGGGGACAGATAATTCTTCATCGTGGGGGCCTGACCTGACCTGTGCATTGCAGGATGATTAGCAACATCACTGGCCACTACCCCTGGGTGCTAGGAGTAACCGCCACATTGTGGCAACCAAAAATGCCTCCAGACATTGCCGGATGTCCTTTGAGGGGCAGAACTCTCACCCATATCCCCTTATTGAGGACCCAACATTAAGGAATGCTAAATGGTGTCACCAGGACCTGCTTCCTACAGTCAAGGCACATGCTTTCTGCAGTCTTGGCTTCATCCTAGGGTCCACGTGGTAGTCCTCTGGCAGCTCCACACTATCTTGTGTATCTTGCTATCTTGTGGTAGCAAAAAGGCTGTCACAATTCCAGACCTCACTGCTTCATACCCCGTTGTCCAGGCAGAGAAAGGTTGTTGATTTTGGTCACTTCTACAGAACAGAGACCACATGCAAATCCCAGCTTGTGTCTCCAGCCCTTCTCTGCTCTGATTGGCAAGGCGCCCATAGCTTAGCCAGTCTCCGTGGTGAGAGGGACAGAGTAAGCTGATTGGCTTAAGCCACAGGACCCACTGCTGGGGTTGGGATGATGTCAACCCCCATCAAGATACATAGCTAAGGAGGAAGGTAGGATGGCTCTCCACAAATGTCTATGCACCATTCCCCAAGCAGACCATTCAGGCCTGGGACTGTCCACATTTTACCAAGGGTCCATTTAGACCCAGGCAAAGGGGATCCAGTGAGTTGATGCTGTGTGGCAGAGACACTGCAAAACCAGAGGCTGAGGGGTCTGCATGAGAAAACAAAACTGCTCCCACCTGAAAAACCATGCCCTTTCTGCATCCTGCCTGCTCTGAGCTAGACTCTGAAAGGGTCAGAAACCTCAGCAACCCCCAGTTCAGCTGGGAGAGGAGAAACACTGGGCTCGAAGCTGGACAAAGAGCCTTCCCCCTCTCCATGGCAAAGAACCTCCAGCATGAGCCAAGCTGGGAGGGGCGAGGGGGAGCTGGCATTAAAACGAGTTCGGAATTTTTATTATCTCGAACTAGACCATTTTAATTACTGAACTGAGGCTGTATTTGTGGTTTAAAGTGACCAGAGATCTTTTTATTACCGAAAAGCCAGGAGAAAATTATGGGCCCTGCCTGAGACAGAGATCTCATCCTCAGGCAAGAAATGGTCCTCACTGCATACATTTTAAAGGGAGAATGGGAGCAAAAATAAAACCGCACTTCAGCTGTATCCGTGGGCTGTGCTGGCTCAACATACAGCTGCTCCTTCAATGGAGCCCAGGGAAGAGGCTCCCCAGGACCGGAGACACACACAGAGGGCCTGAGGGTCCCGGAGGCAGGTAATCCCCATCCCCCGACCCCACCAGGGAATTTGTTCAGACCCGAAGATCTGCAGAACCTAGGGAACGAGGCTGCAGCAGCACTGAGAGAAGCAATGGGTTGGATGGTAAGCCCCAGTAGCAACCTCAAGGTCAGGTAGGGGCAGACAAGTGTATAGTGGAGAACAGAGGCCCCAGCAGAAACTTCCACCCTGGAACTTGCCATGGAACTGTGATTTCCCTCTCCCCGCCCCGAGGGCCTCATCTAGATGGCCAGGCTAACGCTGCTATTACTTACCATCTGACCTGATTTTCTTGCCTTTACCCCCAAAGCTGTGACCCGGAAAGCAAAGGTTACACAAAGTGCTAAAGCAGGGAGCTGATGGATCCCGGGCTGGGGTCTTCAGTTCCCCTTGCCCCAAGCAGAAAGGCACAGGCAGGCACTTACTTCCTCTCTTCCTCCATGAAAAACCTTAAGGGTCAGGCTCACGAGTGCTCCCGACTGACTTCTGTTTATTGTACTGGTTTGGCCATTAATGGGACAAAATGCAAATGGAATTGCAAGAATCAGCCCAGTCTTACTTGGGGCTCACAAAACCAGCTCCCATTCTGACAAGTGTATGCTAATTGCATTCTGTCTCCTTGCAAATTACAGCTATTCCTCTGGTTTTTAAAAAATTTGACATTTCATTTTGATTGCGGCAGCTTCTTGTTTCCTCCAGCACCAAGAAGGGGAGGGCAGTGGGGGATTGAGGGCAGACACTGACCTCACGGCCTGGGTACAGATGCTGCTGGAGGGTCCAAGGCCTTTGAGTGGAGTCACCACAACAAGCTTGGACCTCAATCATACTTGGAGTCTTTCTGCTTTTGGCAGATTTATACAGATATGGTCAAAACCCCCAAATTTCACAGCTTGCATGGATCCAGAGCCCTTTCTGTGCTTTCTGCAAATCTGTGCCCATGCTTTTTCCTCTGTCCCTCTCGTTTTGCTCCTCTGGCTGGGTGAGCCATCCTGACTTGTCTGCACATCAAAGGATACCCATAGCTCAAGAAATCCAGTCATGGTTGTGATTCCACTGCTCAGTATCTTAGAGTCTTGCCGGGGGCTTGAGGAATTCCATCAAGTACAACATTCTGTGTGTAGATCAGAGGTTCTCGAAGTGGAATCCAGGGACACAGAGAGGACCTGAAACCTTCCCAAGGTGTCTGTGATATCGAAATTCCTCATAACTACACTAAGATGCTATTTGCCTTTCCCTCCAAAGCATACAGTGGAGTTCTCTAGCACCCATCTGATGTTTGATGATGTCACCGCTCAGCTGAGGGAGTATGTGACTGTGTATTCTGCTGTCCTAAAATGCTCTCAACTTTAATTTCTAATATGCTAATATAATAAATACAATGTACATAACAAAAGCCCTTTGGGATCCTCAGTAATTTTTTTTTTAATATTTTTATTTATTTCTAGGAGAGCGAGACAGACAGCATGAGCAGGGGAGGGTCAGAGAGAGAGGGAGATACAGATTCTGAAACAGGCTCCAGACTCTGAGCTGGCAGTCAGGACAGAGCCCGACGCGGGGCTCGAACCCACGAACCGCGAGATCATGACCTAAGCGAAAGTCGGACGCTTAACCGACTAAGCCACCCAGGTGCCCCTGGGATCCTCAGTAATTTTTAAGACACCAAACGGCTCCAGTCCTTCCCCTCAAGCCCTGTTGTTTCTCAAAGCTGCCCCTCCTGCGGAGAGACCCTGACCCTTACATGCAGCCCCCCTGGGAGGTGGGATCCAACTAGCCCTGTGCCAGTTGCTCTCTAAACCAAGAGCAGCGTGAGGCTGATTGGCCTTCCACAGCTCCCCGGAAGTCTGGTGAGTAACTCTTTCTCCACCTCTGTGCAGTGCTTTCTCAAATCCAGCAGAAGACTTGACAAGTTTTGTGATCTTCTTGGGAAGAGAGTGAGGTCCTGAGAAATCACCACATCCTTGAGATCATATGTAAGTCCTTCTTCACGGCAGAGTCTAGAGTAGGGGAAGATGTGTTACTTCTCATTTTACAGGGGGCAAGACTGAGATCCTGGAGACAGATGGTAGAGATGAGATAAGAACCCACCAACGTGATTGTTGATTTGAACAGCCAAGCCATGGAACCTCTTGAGGTCTGTTTTGAAATATTCTCTTCCTCTCCTCCCCTGTTTTTATTTCCACCCCATCTCCTCCTCCCTCCCTTCTCTCCTTCCCTCCTGTGCCATCTCCTTCTTCCCTCTTATTCTCCTTCCCTTATTTTTTTCCTTTAAGCTATTTAAGGTGGGTCTGTTTGTACTTTTGTCATTCTCTGGGAAATAGCACTGAATTTTAATAAATGTGAATGGCAGAGAAATCAGATAGTGATGCTTGAGCAGAAGTGGGGGGAGCTGTCAGCCACATTTCATCGCGCCTCTAACTGGCAGAGCCAGGGTCCTGGTGTGAATTTTCCAGCCCCTCAGGTGCCTCCTGCTCTCCGTGGGACTCTGCTCTCCAGTCCTGTTAGCCAGCAGCTATGGGCACATCCAACCCTCTCTGGTTCCCTTAACCTTTTCCATTGGTTTTATTTCCACTTGTGCCAAAGAAGGGGTTTTCCAACTAATGCTACAGATCAACTCACCCCATCATTTCTTCCTTTGAGTCAGGATCGGAAGACAGGAAGATGGAAATGCAATCTCTGCCCTAAAGGAATCCACAGGCCAGTGAAGAGATGGAGACACATCAGATAAAGTCAGTGCAGTGAGGGAGAGAATAGAAGCGTGGGCCAGTGTCATGGGACACGTGAGGAGTCGCTGGGCTTCTGTGGCTCCTGGAGAGCTGGCAGGGGAGGGAGCTGCAGCTAAGTCAGGAGAGCGAGAGAAGCCCAGATCACAAAGTCTGGGCTGCCACAAACCCCAAACTAAAAGTAATATCTTAGGGGCTTGAATGGTGTGCATGTGCGTGTGTGCATGTGGGGGTGGGGATGGCAATAACTGAAACAGAAACTTCTAGACAGCTTTTTGGGAGCTTTTTGCTTTTTTTTTAAGTTTATTTTTGAGAGAGAGAGCGAGAGAGCACATACACACACAAGCAGGGGAGGGGTAGAGAGAGAGGGAGAAAGAAAGAATCGCAAGCAGACTCGGCACTGACAGCTCAGGACACAATGCTGGGCTCAAACCCATGAACTGTGAGATCATGACCTGAACTGAAATCAGGAGTCGGACATTCAACCAACTGAGCCACCCAGGTGTCCCATAGACTGTTTTAATGGAGGCAGCATAAGGTAGTGGTTGAGGACACCGGCTGTGGAGTTAGGTGAATTTGACAGTCACTCACCAGTCTGTATGACTTTGGGCAAGACCTTTAAGCTCAATTTTACCATCTGTACAATGGAATGATTTGAACTCTCATATTTCTGAGAGTTCCATAAATTAATATGTGACCAGTTTTTAGGAAAGAACCTGAAATGCATAAGGCTGTAGATCCACATATAAATGTCAGATGCTCTTAGTATTGTGTTCTAGATTAAGTGAAATAACAGACATGAAGCATTAGGCACAGCACCTGAAACATGGTGGACCACCCACAGCTGCTAACATGACCATGGGTACCAGGGGTCAGTTCCTCAGGGCCAGCGAACGTCAGGCATGGTGGGAACAGCTTACCATCCGCCCTTCATCAAAGGGAGTGGGGCTCCAATGCACCGGCAGGAAGGAGCGCGTGTGTCAGATGCATGTTAGGGCTGGAGGTGAGCCGGAGGTCAGGGCGGCCGAGGCAGGCAGTGAGCCGTGGAGTCTGCATTCAGGCCACCATCACCAGTGGTCACCCTCGGATGAAGCACAGAACCAGGCCTGGGAAGACGAGGACAGCCCTCCCCGTGGAGGTGACATTTCAGTTAGACGTGAGAAGTGGGTGTTTTCCAAGATTATGTACAAAACGAGTCACATAAATGTCATTTCTGCCACACTTCTTGAAATAGCTTCACATAACTTTCTAGAATACTGGTCCATGCTTTTTAAAGCTAAGCTTTCTTATTATGTTGCCGAAATCTAGCATATCCTACAACTACAGATGACTGGTAATAGATGAGGAACACCAGTCTTATCTGAGAAGACAGTTAGAACTGGAGGCTGGTACTTAGAAATTATTTTATCATCTCTGTGAGAACGAAGCTGATTCATCTGAGCAGCGCATTACCGCTTACAAGTTATTGCTGGCTTATTTAATCCTCAGAAACACCCTCTGAAGTAAGTATCAGGATTCCCATGTTACACCGGAGGCAATGTGGGAGCTCAGTTCTTTGGGATTTCTGCCTGGAGGCTATATAAATCCTTCTTTTGGACCTCTGGGTAGATTCGCATGATCCCGTAGCCAGGCTCCTCCTTACCTCAGGTGGCACTTGATAAAAAGCTAGTTCTGGAGCTTGTTACGCTGTTGTGGGTGCCAAAAAGCAAAACCAAAGATTGTGCGTGCCTTTCTAGTGAATCTTCTGAAATATCAGTCTCTGGTATGAGGAAAATAGACAAAGCCCTTTGGGATAGTCAGTTTTATGTGTCACCTTGGCCAGCCTACAATCCCCAGTTATCCAAGCAAACTAATTTAGGTGTTGCTGTGGAGGTATTTTGTGGATGTGATTCAAGTTCATAATCAGTTGACTAGAAGTAAGAGAGAGCACCCCCAGAGAACCTGGGTGGGCCTGACTTAATCAGTTGAAAGTCCTTCAGAGCAGTTGGGTCTTCTCTGAGGAAGAAGAAAGTCTACCTGGGGAGGCAGCAGCTTCACCTCAGTTATGTGAGGGAGCACAACGATGCAAAGAATAGAGAAACCAAGAGAGCTTTCTCCAACACTTTCCCTTCTTGGGGACCAGGAACGAAGTCCTCTCTACCCTGTGCAAGCAGGGAACAAGGAGGGTGCTAAGGGCCCCCCCACAGGGGGCACCACATGTGAACACATCTTCCTCTCCCCACAGTGTTCAGTCGTGGCTCCAAGAACTCAACTTTAACAAAGGTATTTTAGACTAAGCCCTTCCCACATTGCAGTTTCTTTCAAAGTTCTCTCCCATCCAGCCTCTCCCCTTTATGTTGGCAGGAGAATTCTCTAGAGAGAAGGGAGGTGGCAGGCAACTTGAAACCGCAACTGTATATCCTTTCCAGAGACATTTGTCCTCAGGAGTCTGACCATTGAAGCCTCCTGCCTGCTCCTGTCTCATGGCGACGTGCGATCCACAGCCCTAACTGAGAATGGCCTCTGGCACTTCCAGGAGCTGCCCAGCTGTTGACATCAGTGCGATCCCTTGTATGTATTGACTCCAAAGTACAACAAAAAACACGATTCCATTCACCCTAAGAATCCCAGCTCAGACGGTCTAACTGCACCCTAGTCAAAACAGCGGGTTTTAAAAATCTTATACTAGGGGCGCCTGGGTGGCTTAGTCGATTGAGCGTCCGACTTTCGCTTAGGTCATGATCTCGCGGTTCGTGGGTTCAAGCCCCGCATCAGGCCCTGTGCTGACTGCCAGCTCGGAGCCTGGAGCCTGTTTCAGTCTGTGACTCCCTCTCTCTCTGACCCTCCCCTGCTCACGCTGTCTCTCTCTCTCTCCTAGAAATAAATAAAACATTAAAAAAAAAATTTAAAAAAAAATCTTATACTAAAAGCGAGTGCTGGATATTACAGAGTTATAAAAAGCATTATCCAGGGAAACAAAGACAATGAAGGCTGAGACCAGCTGACTGCAGGCCCTTGCATGGGAAGCTCAGTGCCCAATATAGCTTTCCCCAAATCCTCCTGGGTATTTCCCTTTTAAGCATCCCCAGTGCTGGGCTGCCGAACCACGCCTGCTGACTGCACATTGCTGGAGGATAAACTCCTAACTCCCAAGCAAGACTCACAGGAAGCGTCATAGTGAGGCCCCCTCACCCTCTTCTCCCTCTTACCACCCACCACCCCCGGGCTCCAACTTCACTGTATCCCGCGGGTTCCTGGTGTACACCTCTCATTTTTATGTCTCCATGAAGCCTATGGGCCTGGAACATCCTTGCCTATTCTCTGCCTCATTGTCTACTTCTCTAAGCCCTGTCTCAAGATTCTACTCCTCTATGGAGTAATTTCAAACATTCTGCGGCCATCATCAGTGCTGCTCATCAGATATTTCATTTTTCCTACATGCTGGCCACCCGATAGGATCACATTTCTGGGCCTCTTGTGTATGAAGCCCTGTGACTAGTTCTGGCCAATGGGTCCTAAGTAGAATGACACATGTCCCTTCTGCACCCGAGTACCTGCTTGTCATGTGACACTCTCTAGGGTCTTTCTCTTCCTGTGACATGGCAAATAGTAACATTCCAGATAGCAGCTGCTCTGATAAGCTGGATCCCAGTAAGCACGATCATGTGGAGCAGAGAGCCTTACCAACCCATAATGGAGAAAGAGACCTTTGCTCAAAACCTCCAAAGTACAGAGGTTGTTTGTTACTGCAGTATAACCTAGCTTGTGCTGACAGACACATACTCCCTGACCAAGCTGGCTGGTCTTGCCTCCTCTAGGCTCAAACAGCACTCTGCCTTTTCTCCCATGGTTGCATGTTTTATTTAGGTGCTTACGTGTGCTCCTTCAATGTCAGCTAGTCCAGGACCAGTTCAGGGACCATTTCTCATGCACTTTCATATCTCATTATTCACTGCAAGATCTGCCACGTAGCGGGCATCAATACACAATCATTGTGTTGTTATTGGCTCGTTTTTTCTCCTCTTCCCTGTTGTGTGGGTGAGAAAATGACCTTGACAGTTTCCCGTTACTCTTGCTGGCTTTCTCCTGCTGCTCAGGTTACCAGAATTGATTTCACTTCTCCTGTTGCCTGTTCAGTGGGGGGTCAGAGAGTCAAACTTGTTCTGGGTCATACATCCTCATCTCCCATAAACGTCCCAAAGATCTGGCTCCTGAGCAGTTGTTGTAAGTGAGGGATAGGGCCCCTGAGACCACCAATAACTCTGAAGCAGCATTAGCAGGCAGCTGAGGCAGCTGAGGCTGCTCCCATCCTCCTGGAAGGTGGAGGAAGGGAAAGGAAGCTCTCATCTGAATTTGCAGGCTTCCAGCTCTTGTTTCTGTAGTACTTACCTACCCTAGGCCCACTGAAGTAGGGTGATAAGACCACACACACACGCACACACACACACACACACACACTTGAATCCTTTACCTCCTGGCCCTGGGCCAGTGAGAGTTGGGTCTGGAGGCAGTCAGGAACTTCTCCAGGTAGGGAATCATAAAATGCCACATTTCCACACTTCTCATGCAGAAATGGAGCCAGAGCCTTTCTCCTGCTTCTCCCTTTGGTGGGACTGCCCCCTGTCATGGGCTTGGTGCCTGGTTCCCACCCCAGCTCTCTGTTGGACTTGGACCCCAAGCTGACTTGCAGCCTGACCAGCTGGATTCTGACCCATGGGTCTACTTTCACACCAGCTCCTCCTCCTTTCTTGAGACAAATATCCTTCTGGAAGCCCTCACATTGGCCCAGAGAGGCCTCCCTGTCTGACACTCCACCTGATGTTGAGAATCACCATGTCCAGAAGCCCAGCCACTGTGCCCACACTACACACCACTACAAACAATCTCACTGAAAGCAGCCCTGCCAAGGGAAGTAGAGTCTACCAGGGTCCTCTGGTTGGGGTGACCCAGGCAGGCTGCCATAACAACACTGCTTTCTTAATCATTTCCCCCTGGTGGGTCAAGCCCATCAGTCTCTCCTTATCAAGTGTCCAATGTGTCTTCTGGCCTCACACCCTCTGCCATAAGAACGATGCAAAGAGAAGTCAAGCAGATCTCCTAAGCTATATCCTGACACCCACCTCGACTGGGAATTGTTTGGCTGTAAGGGAGAAAGGTCCCACTCATAAACTAAACTACAGGGAACACAACTAGCCCTCACAGGAACTGAAAGTTTGCGTGGTAGAGTACGCTCATGGCCCCAAACTTTCACCTCATTTCCTTGCCCTTTGCTATGTGATTTGCTTTGGCCAGTGAGATCAGGACAAGCATCATGTGCCCAAAGCATGTGCATGATTGGACTTGCTGTCTTGTGCTTTTATTTTTAATGTTTGTTTATTTATTTTGAGAAAGAGAGAGCAGGGAAGGGGCAGAGAGAGAGGGAGAGAGAGAATCTGAAGCAGGCTCCACACTATTAGTACAGAGCAGGGCTCAAACCCACAAACCCCAAGATCATGACCTGAGCCGAAATCAGGAGTTGGATGCTTAACCAACTGAGCCACCCAAGTGCCCCTGTCTTGCACTTTGCCACTGCCATGAGAACAGCATGCCTGGCCCAGCCCATTAGTCCCAGGGGAAAATGAGAGTATCAACTGAGCCCACCCTAGACCCACCCATCCCAGCTGACCAAGAGAAGCATAGGCTACATGAACACAAGGCCCATGACACTGAGGTTTCATGGTCGCTTGTTACACAGCATTTGGGGGCAATTGTTAACCAACATAGGTGTCCGGCAGGATTCTCCCCATTTCTCTTTCTGCTCTCAGATTCCTTATCGTTTTTTGTCTCTGCTTTTCTCTGCTCTTCTGCTTCATCTATTCTTTTCCTAAAGGTCAGCTTCTTTGGTTTCTCTTCCTCTTACACGTGATTTCCTCATAGACTTCTGAGCTGGTTCTCAGGAATCTACCATCAGCCCTCAACTGTCTCTCAGCCTCAGACTATGTCCTTCATCAAATCTGAGGCACAGAGGACTTACCCACCTCTCCACTCCTAAGTGGAACTTGATGGCCAATCAGGAAGAAACACAAAGGAGTGTCCATGCTTTTCAGGGGATGCAGTGGAAGGAGCACTGTTCCTTTCTGTGAGTCCCCCCCACCCAGGGCAATGTCTTGCTACAGTAGTGAAAAGCCAAAAACAAGCTCCTTAGCAGGTCACTCTGTTACTTATGGAAATAATCATCTGTCCTAGGGAGGAAAGCATGCTGGGATTGCTCCCTAGGTAGGTTGGGCGGGTGGATTAAGCTGAGATTAAGAAAACCAGGGAAGCGGGCAGAAATAAGTCTGGCCCTGAAGGACCAGCACTAGAAATGAGGCAGGAACCCCGTTACATTTGGAGCAAACTTAGTGAGGGCCAAGAGGAAGACGGATATGGTGGGCACATCCCCAGACACAAGGACACCAGACAGCACAACTAATTCTGAGTTCTACCCATGCTGATGGGCGACTCTGATTAAGCAGGGCTGGGTAAGTCAAGACAGGCAAAGAGCAAAGAGGGGTTCACAGACACCACAGAGCAGGCTGTGGCAAGGCCAGTGCATGGACACTTCTGGAGGCCAGCAGCCAAGGAGGAGCTGCTATTCTGAGGTAGGAGACTGGCTCAGCTCCGTGGTCTTGTAATCCCCTTCCTTGGATGCCAGCCAATCTCAAGGAAGTTACACATGTAGAAAGGTGGATGGAACCAAGTGTAAGAGAAAAAAACAGAGATGGAAACCCTGTTTGTGACCACATACAGTGGGATATACATTCTGGAAAGTGCTGTGGGCATATTTACTGAAGCGAAGTTGGCACAAAGTCCATAACCCAGCAATCCTCTCCTGGGTGTAGAGCCTGAGAGGTTCCTGACCAGATTCCTGAGACATGTGCACCACACGATCATCCTGTTGCTGCTTCGGGTTAGCTGAAGCCTGGCAGAATGGGCAAGAGAAAGGCAGTGGGTGCACCTGAAGCAATGAGCTAGCTATGTAAAGAGCAACAGGAATAGATCTTTAAAACAGAGCTCAAAGTGGAAAAAAAAAAAAAAAGTAAGAAACAGAATAAGATTTATGGCACAATACCATTAGTGTAAATTAAAAACACATACACCCCACAAAACAACGTTATATTTTAACAAGGATCCATGAAGATGTTAGGCCATATATCAGACACACTGGAGTGAAAACTGAGGGGAGGAGAAGGGAAAGGCGTGAGGACTGAGGATAAAGTAGGGAAAAGCCCATAAAACAAGAGGCCACGCACAGACTTTTTATGATAATGAGTATCATAAACATCATTTCCATATCTGAGATCTGTAGTTTGTTTGTTTTTAATCTCAAGTAAATCTATCATGGGGCTGGTTTGGGTCTGGGATCATCTTAACACTGGCTGTTGAGATACTGGGCAGGGGGGACAAGGTGCCACAAAGATCCCTGGCGGGGGCTCCACAACCAGGCGCAGGAAGGCAGGGAATGGGGGTGGGGGGTGGGAACGGCTGTCTGCACAGGCTTTGGAATCACACAGTCTTGGGTTTTAGCCTTGACTTTGCCACATACCAGCCGTGTGACCTCAGACAATGTGTGACCATTGGAAGGTTACTTCATTCTGCAAACCTCC